GAAAATTTTAATGTGAAATTTCTTCACGTGTATTGAACGAATATCAAAATATGGCTGAAATAAATGTTAAGTACATCAACAGGACATAAACAGGTAAAATTGACGTTGATTTTAATGAATAAACAAGATTTTGAAAATTGGCTGGGTCATGTTGACCTTGGTACTGACAAGGAGTTATGGAATCTTCGAAATAATCAAAACTTTAGAATCTTTTAAGATATCAAAGTTTCATTAACTACGGGGTATTTCAAATTTTTAGAAGTTCCACGAATACGATGAATTATTGATTACTGTATGAATAAATCATTCATTTTATGATTCTTTCTGATAATGTTCCTTACTCTCAACTACATTTGGGCAACTCTCCCTACTATAATTTGGGAAACTTTAAATAACATCTAAAACATTAAACAGTAATCAGCGCTTTCTTTTGAGATTGCTAAGATGAAATAAAACATCCTATATTCATAAAGTTTAAAATACCCCTAATACTTTGATTTTGTTTTCCGGAGGTCAATGTCTTGTGAAAAGCTGAACGTACTGTTAAGCTGAACTAGATCTACTGATATGTAGTTGCTTGAACCTAAATCTTGAATGAAAAATATGCCCGAATCAGATTCAGGAGTATGGTAGACTTATAAAATAGCTATAAATATGGTTTAAAATTTGTTGATAAGCTTTCCGTGACATCCGCATCAAACGCGAATTCCACGCAAAACGCACAATAACTGCCTGGATATAACAGATTTGAAGAAGGTTTAAGAATTTTTAATCACAGTTGAACTCGATCGAAATCGATGTAGAATAATAAACTATGGTGGACAAATCTCTATCATAAAACAATACAACTTTTTAATTCTTTGAAATTATATTACGTAAGAAGGGATCAACCCCCGCCACCTCAGATAATATTGTGTAAGATTTTACAAACCCACTCCTTTCCCTTACATGATTAGTGTTTTCTCGTTGCGATGCTTTTTAGTTAGGAGTTCACTAATTGGGTGTATTCCCAAATAAAAAACTGTTTATCCGTCAGAAATTTTAGCGTGACGCCTTGAAATTTCATTGTTGTTACTTGGAGACAAGGTTGCAAGTACACATTTCAGCTAAAACAATGTTTTTTTTTCTGAATTATGAAACAATTAGATGCTATGATCATATTTTTTATTGGTAAGATACAAGAAAAGGTTGCAAAGAATGAGTTTGACACATTAAACCTAACAATTTCACAATCAGTCACAATCAGCAATTTTTCACTCACTCACTCACTCACTCACGCACTCACTCACTCACTCATAAAGTAAAGAAAGCTTCCGATACGGATGGAATCCCCAACGTGGCGTTAAAAGCGGCAATCCAGGCGTCTCCGGACATGTTCAGGATGGTGCTGCAGAAATACCTGAAAGAGGATCACTTCCCTGGCAGGTGGAAGATACAGAAGTTAGTGTTACCATAGAGGTAACTCTAAGACTAGTATGTCCCGAAGAAAAGTGCTCAACTTTTTGGCTCAGCACGCGCTATAACGGCGTGATAACGCTGATGCTGCCCAAAGGAGTAAAGATAGTTGGCTTTGCGGACGACGTCGTCTTGACGGTAACAGGCGCTACGCTGGAAGAGGTGGAAATGTTGCCTGTGAGAAGGCTTCGAAGGCTATCAACGCGATAGCTAGAATCATGCCAAACAATTCTGGTTCCAGCAGTAGTAAGAGGCATCTTCTGCTCAGTGTGTCTTCGTCGATATTGAGGTATGCAGGTCCAGCCTGGGTCACTGCCAGGGGGCTGGCACCCTATATCAATCCTATACGTTTGACAGTAGGTTTCATCACGGGCCTTATTTGAATACCGCCTGACGTATATATGGTAGAAAGGGACGGAAAATCGTGTTATGAGCAGAACAGCTCAGTGGCAGGCGCGTAGGCAACATGTTATACAGCGGGCCCAGAACAGCAAAATAAATTATTTGAGCCCGGGACATGCTGCCTACTGTCAAACGCTGCTGTTGGTGTAGGCCTTGTCACTGGCCTGGAGCAGAAAGACAAGAGCAGAAACATGGCCGCCAGCCAGGCCCCTAGTTGCAGCGCTGGAAACGAAGCATAACCAAACGAAACTGAGCAGTACGTGGAGCAGAAAGACAAGAGCAGAAACATGGCCGCCAGCCAGGCCCCTAGTTGCAGCGCTGGAAACGAAGCATAACCAAACGAAACTGACCAGTACGTGTCGCTCACGGCCATACGAGTCGTTATCGTCGGAATGACATCAACCTGGCGGATGACAGCAAGTGCTACAGGCGGAGAGAAGCTGGAAGAGTACGGAAAGTTGTGAGAGTGGAGTCGTTGGCTAAGTGGCAACAACAGTGGAACACGGCGGAGAACGGTTGATGTACACATATACTAAATAATACCGATTCTTTCAACCTGGGTGAACAGAAAACACGGAGAAGTCAAGTTCCACCTAACGCAGCTGGTCACGGTTGCTTCAGGAAATACCTGCATCGGTTCGGACATGCAGCGTCACCCGTTTGTCCGTAGTGTGGAAACGTGGACGAAACGCCGGAGCATGTGGTCTTGGACTGTTCAAGGTTCGAGGCAGTGCGAAGAGTGATGCCCGTCCTTAACGTGGAGAATGTCGTCGATGAAATGTGTAGAGAGTAGGGTTCTTGGAATGCCGTCAACAGAGCAGTCACGCAGATAATGTTGCAGCTGCAGCGTAAATGGAGAGATGAGCAGTGATCCTGCAACGCCAGTCTGAGAGTAAGAGAAGTGCATTAGCACAGCCCCTCGAAGTAGTGTGGTCCCGGGAGGATCCAGACAGAGGAGAGAGTAAGGCATGGATTTTAATGGAGCTGCACAAGGCAGGCCCGGCTTTTGAAGCTTTTCTAAACCTTACAAAATAACAAATCGCTGATTATCACTCTTATAAAGCTAAATTGTTAGGTTTTATATGTTAAATACATACTTAGCAACATCAGTTACAAGATTATGCCGAAGAACATGTTTTTAACTGAAATAAGTATTTGCAACCCTTGGAGATGATCTAGTGAGCAGCTTCAATACCGTGCCAACTAGTGAATGATAACTGTATTTTGTAAAAGTTTCATGACTCTGGATGAGTTAAATGACCTAGACTTAGGCAAGTTTCAAGATCCCTGACGCCGAAATTTTCACTTGGAATAATTTCCGGGATGTTGTATGGAATTGGAATTTGTTTTGACACATTGAGCTTTTCAGGGGACGTATACAATTTTCGATATCTTCGAAATATATCTTTAGCATAACATCAAGGGGATTGGCTCCATAAAGCTAACGCGATTGAACCTTCCAAATAAACAAACCCGAACAAAAAACTGAAACATCAAGGGGAAAAAGTTCTATAAACCTTTAAAAATCGCTAAATTTGCTTATCCTGTATCCGGGTGCGTAGCTACGAAGGATTACTAGCATTAGTAGGAATAAGAGCATTATTTAAACCTTTCTTAAGAAGTATTTTTTAGGGATATTAATTTTTATTTGGGGCCTCCCTTAGCTCAGTCGGTAAAGGTGCAGCTACAAAGCAAGACCATTCTGGAGGTGGCTGGGTTCGATTCCCGGTCCGGTCTAGGAATTTTTCGGGTTGGAAAATTTCTCGACTTCCCTGGGCGTATAGTATGATTGTACTTGCCAAACAATTATACTAATGCAAAAATTGTACAGGCATCGAAAGCTCTCAATTAATAACCGTGGAAGTGCATCTAGAACACTAAGTTGAGAGCACGCAATAAGCTAATATGCGATATGCAATAAGCTTGAAATGCGAGGAAGAAGAAGAATAATATTTTTTAATTATTTGCCGTCGCTAACCTCGTATGTCAAACAAAGGCAGGAAAACGTACCTGTACAGCTACGTGCCCAGATAAATGGCTACCGTTGTTTGAGATGGTACTCTGGGGTTGTTCATAAATCATGTAGCCTTCTTATGTGTGAGAAAATCTACGTAAGGGGAGGGTTGTTCTAAAAACTCACAAGAACTGTATACGTAGTTTATGAACAGCCTCTCTCCTAATTTAGTGTTGTTCAAAGGAGGCAGCAGTTCAGCGTTTCTAAAGTACAATAACATAGCTGCCTAATTCAATACATCTCACCCTGATGATTACCAAATGAAGATTCCGTGGGCCTTTTGCAATGTTCACCTAGCTATGAAATTATTTTTAATAGGATGGAGAATTTGTGAATCGTGGAAATTTTAAATAAGATGATCAAACTCTTGAATATTTTTTCGATTCTCAAAACTTTATATAGATTTGCCGATGAAACTATAAAAGATAAATAAACCGAAATCACATTAATCACACAGCATACATGACATGCAGGGTGCTCATCACACATGGTTGGATAATTGATCATTTACACGCTTATATGTTTGTAGAGATGTGTAGTAGACATAGCTTTGAACCTCATCGATAGCAAAGTGACGTCAGTATAAAGGACCCAGCCACGACAGAGGCTTGTTCTTCTATTTATTAGGGAAATCCTCACGGCTGCTAGTGGGATAACAAATTGCCTTGTCCCGACTGCCTCCGCCGCCGCCACCACCACCACCATCACCACCATCACCGTGGGGGTATGGGGTTTATGGGGTGTAGGATCAAAGTGAATGTTCTCATGATGGCGAAATAAAGCAACGAACGGGAGCGGGAGCACCTATCTACAAAGAGCTCGGCAAAAAGCCATGCGAAGTGAAAACCGTGTTATCTGGTGATGCAGCCTTAATGCTCCATCTGGAGTGGATCGATGAAGCGGAAAATTGAGCGAAGTGTCGAAGAAATAAATGATGACCATGAAGGATGTCGGGCCACGTGCGGTGAAGCGCGGGCTGAAGATAAGGGAGCTATAGAGCGAGAGCGAACGAAGAATACTCACAGTGATTGTAACCAGTTGATTAGTGGGTTCCTGGACGAAACGTGCTTCTTGGGCGGAAATATGGTGTATTAATTCCGTTTATATATTTTTCTGCTTCGTTATTTAGATTGATGGAAAAAGTATTGAAGAGTAAGCGGGAATGTGACAGTATTTGCAATGATAGTGATTAAGGTGAAGATCAAAAAGTGTGGTAGTTGCGCTTAACTACGAGTTGGAAGTGAAGATTCCAAAGACAAGGTCTTGGCGGCTGCAGAACAGAGCTGGAGTAAAAACGATTGCTGCAAGATGGGCAACTACTGTAGTTCGGGTCAAACGAAGAAGGATAAGGATAACGCATCGGAAAAGTCGGAAGAGTAAGTAGCAAATCTGACATATTCCCATAAACTCATTTTTTCCTGGACCATTTTCAATAAATTTTACACCAATTTTTGTTGACACACGGCCAAAGAAGAAGACGCAAACAGTAGCTTGATGCATTTTGTCTTCTTTTTTAATGTGTATACCGTAAAGAGTAGAAATTCGGACACTTAGTTCAAAGATCCAGATATTTTTTAAAGTTGATTATCCAGATATTTTTTAAAGTTGATTACCATGCTCGAAGTACTACGTAAATTTCATCATATTCTTTTAGTATCGTTCTGAATCATCACACATTGGTATTTATTATGATGAGCAGTTCCACGCCAAATGGTGAATCGGAAAACTTAACCTCCTGCGATTTGCATAAAATTTTGCATAATGGTGTAATATATTAAATTTATTTCATTTATCCATAATTTGTAGCACGAAACGCCACTTTCATTACGTCTGAGACAAAGTTGTAGAGAAAAATGAAGTCTGGGAAAAATATACGCGGTACTTTTTTAGTCATTTTGGGTAACCATTCCAAAAGCATATCATCTATTTTATATATCTTTTCTTTGAAAGCTCATGAAAAATGTAAACTTTTGGAATATTTAAAATAATGGACACTTGAAAATAGACAAAAATCGTACAACAAGACCTAGAACAAGACCTTAAGGTACATTTTTTGAACTTTTTGTTAGTAGAAGATTTGATACAGACCGGCCCAATATGTTCTTCAAAGTTGTAGAATAATTTATTTGAAGCTACTTTAATTAACTTTTCACCAGTGATCGAAATCATCGCTGATGCGGGAAGATAAACGACATTTTTCGCCCGTTCAGAGAATGGAAAGTTAAAGTAAAGAGCGAGAGAACTTTGTGCAAGTAAAGCAATTCTCTCGAGAAAAGTAACCATGATAATTTTTTCTCACTCGTTAGTGACAGCCGGCATTTTTTTCGGTGATATTGATTTTTCACCCCTCTCGAGAACCTGGTTTTAAGCTATTTTCAGACAAAACCGAGCTTGTACCATACGGGAACGGATTAGTGGCGGTATAAGAGAGAAAACTAGTACAACTAGCACCACCACAAATCGCAAGTCAGCCTCGCCCAGTGATGCAAAATATCATGACACTCACGTGACACTCGTCTACCCATCAATCGACTATCGCTGACAGAACGTTTTGTCACGCAGTGAGAGTTAGAGCCATGGCAAACAACAATCACCAGTAATGGTCACTGCTCACAAGCAAAACTTTACACTCGCTGCTGATGATGAAAAGCAAAACGAAAACAGTGTACGCATTCCAAGTTCGTCTCGGCAGGCGCGACTGTGTGAGTTACAAACAAAGCAGGCAACATTAAACGGAAGCTGTTGGGCTCACTCACATATGCAAGCAAAGCAGTAAAGGGCCACCCACATTAGATCCGTTTGCGTTGCGTTGACGTAAATGTGACAGTTAGACAATTGATTTAGCTGTTACTTTGCCGCAACGCATCCGATCCGGATCTAATGTGCGTGGGCCTTAACTGCTTCAAAAGGAACACAGATGAGTGGCGTGATTGTCGGGAATGACCAGATTGGTGATGGATCACAACCGAAGACGACATTCACCAGTTGCTTTTTACTTCTTTCGGAAACTTGATGGATGGTCATGGAGAGAGCTTCGACGAGCACGTTGATAGGAATGTACAAAGCGTTACTACCATCTGCTGTTTGACGATCGTGATTGTAATAGGTCGCAACTCTGGTCGCCTCAAATACCGCTTTCATGTAATAATAAGTGCATAGTTTGTATGTAAATCTTTCAGCATATTTACATGTATTTGACCAAACAATCCCAAACCGTTCAAAATTCGCCTTGACATCGACTCTGTAACTCTTATAACAAAATTAATACCCTGAAAAAAAGAAGAGCCGACAAATTCATATCGACTCACCTTTTACATCACATTGGGCTCAAACGCTCATTTGCTGCACTCCTGCTTGGATTCCAGCAGCACACTACCGAACATTTTCGGTATCGGGAGACGAAAAAGTGTTCCCACCGAATTTGAGAGAGCGATAATTTCATGGTATAGATGGGATACGAAAATGAGTAATCGTCGAAAAAAAAAAACAGAGATGCAAATATTGTCGATTTTCAGCTCTGCGAAAAGCAGCTTGAGTGATGCATCGCTTATCTTACAGCTGAGCGAGAATTTCGATCTCTGCTTTTCATACATTGATTTCTCGCAATTTTTTTTTTGTATATTAATTTATTTGATAAGGCTCAACCGAATTAACTTAACAGAGCCGAGGATTTATGGTCACTATACAATACATCTTAAAGCTATAGTCAAAAGGTACAACACAATAAACACTTTATCTTCCGCTATCCAAAAAGCATCCTCCATCAGAACTGGAGCCGCTTCCAGTAGTTTCATTGTATGGCAAATTGTTGTACGCCAACGAGGGTCAGAGCGCGTCCATTGCAGCAATGGAAGCAAAACGTGGTCAGCACTCACACACTCATCACGAAACGGTTGCTTTCCAAAGTCGACGACGCATCGACCGAAAGAACTGCTGATGAAGAACAATGAGGAGGACAAACAAAATTACATAAAAAAAAAAAAATCGTGTATATTTTTCCCAGAAACATTTAACTTTTGAAAACATCTTTGTTTCAGTCGTCATTTTGATCAGAATTGACGTTTTTGTCACCATTTAAAAAAAAAAAAAATAAAGCCAAAATGGCCGATTTTTTGCAAAAAATGTAAATGATTGCCCATAAAACACAACTATGCAAAGTTTCATGCAAATTGGAGAAGCTCGAGTTAATATTTTTATTATTTATCCTATTTGACTTGGGGCTGGTCTTGAGTTTTGCAGAAGATGTCGCTAGTGAAAAATCCCTGATTAATCCACCTACCAGTGACAAGTGACTTTCTCGTTTAATATGAAATAGCTTAGTTGAAGATGCTAATTTTAAGTAACAGACTAAAGTGGTAATTTTTATACGATAGATGAGGAGATGAAAGTATAGAGTTGATAGTTCCGTTAGAGTATGGCAGCGTGAAAATTGTATGTAGAGAGTAGAAAGCGAGCAAGGACAACTTTTTAGGAACTCCTCCGTTGGAGAGGGACGGTGAAATTTAGTAAACCCTTACTAAGTATTGAGTTGTCTAAAACAGCCATAAACAAGTTTCGAAAAGATGAACGTAAGAACAAATTGGTCAACAGACGGAACCATTGAAACGATAATTTTAAACGTCAATTTGTCAAAACTGCAGTTCACCCACGCAAGCTAAGCACCATAATATTGGGGAAATGTTGCCCTACATGATGACAGTGTTTGTTTTCATTGCAAGCAGTTTGGACAATCTGACGTTTGAAGTAAATGTTTACAACAGCAGTTGCGGCTATTTGACAATTTGTTCTTGGACTAACTTACTTCCAAGTTGCTGACTAATTTTCCAATTTATTCATTTCCTCACACATGAAAATGCTGTGGCTAACATATTTTTAGTGCCGCACCTTCAGGAATGTTCTGGGTCCTCTACGATAGTGACCACAATATAAAATAATGTGAGGGGGGCTACTCTAGCTACGATTCAGGAAAAAATATGTTTTGCTGTGGTTAGCTGCGCGGTCGCTGAGTAGATAGAAAGTAGATTGATGACGATTCTGAAGATTTCCTGCAAAAATATGATGCGCGATGCAAGTAGATGCGCGAAATGAAAGCGATGCGAGAAATGAGCATCTAGAATTGAGATTTAGATGTGTCACCCCTCGAAATAATTATGTATTTGAAATTATCACGAGAAAGGCACTTTTCACCGGTAGGTGTATTAATCAAGGTTTTTAGTACCCAATGACAATTTTTGGCGGTGCCGGTGGTTGAGCGGTAACTGTTTTCTTAACCCACACTCATAAAATAATTCGCATGAACAGTGGAAAATATTCATGAGAATTTTACATAACTTTCATGTGATCCCATAATTTTAATTGCTTCACAAAATCACCTGAACCTTACGTGCCCAATAAAATCTATATGATTACTCACATAGACTTTATTATGCTATGTGGATAACTATAATTAATTGTGTTAGGGGCTGTTAAAACACTACATAGCCCGATTTTGAGAGGTTTTAGACCCCCCTTCCCCGCGTAGACAATCGCACAGTGGGGTGGGACTATTTAGTATTTAGTCAAGATTTGATGATAATAGTCGAAAGTTGGTTCAAAACTAGTCCTGTGCGCCGTCGCGCCGTGTCGCTGCCGCCGGCACTTTTTCACACACAAAAGGACATTGTTTCTTTATCATAGACCTGATTTTTTGAATCGGTCAACTTTTTCCGGAGGTACCGGAGTTTCAAGCACATCCACTCTATGCTCATGGAAGTCGAGAAAATTTCAATCCAGTAAGATTTTCTTGATCGGGCTTTAAATCGAAACCACCGTCATCGGTTTAGTGAAACCGTCATAACTAAATAATAGGGATGGTCGGGTATGTAATATAAATACCCGAACCCAACCCGTACCAGATTCATAACATTTTAGAGAACCTGTACCTGACCCGAACCCGAAATGTGATTTTTTTTAAACACCCGTACCCGATCAGAACCATATAATTTAGTTTTATTAATGTCCATACCCAACCCAAACTAGACAGGTACGGGTATGGGTTGAGTTTTGGGTAAATAAACCCGTTCCTGATCATCTACAGTTTACCGAACACATATATTTATTTTTAAGGTATCTGTTTTTGTCAAGGCAGATGATAGGGGAATTTACGTATTCTCGTCAATCTAAGCAGCGTCCGAACTTCTATTAGCGATTTCTCAGCGTCACACACATACATGACAGGTTTGTTTGTTGACATTTATCTGCTGCTTGCTGTTCTACCAATTCCAATCGACAGAATTGATCAAAACGGGTTGAACATGTTTTTATAAAGCTCCAAACTTCTCAGGTGAGTGTGACTATTGTCGGCAGTCTCTTTTTCTTCGGCACCCTTTCCATTTGA